AAAAAAAAAGATAAAAGAAAAAGAAAATACATGATTGAATCATATGAGGACTTGAGGGACCAGGCACTAGGCTATAGAGATGCAGGAGTGCAAGAAATTTTATGGGGAGCATCTGTGAAGAAAAGGGACAGGACTTGTTAGGGAGCATCTCCTTCTCAATGTGTATCTGATAAACTCTTGGGCATTCTAAAATTGAGCCCTGAAGCAAGGGTTTCCCATTAAAGGAATCCTGTGCTGATCAGAAATCATCATTCTTTTCTTTGAAGGCATTATCTTTGGGCTACCTAGGAAGTTCAGTCTCACTTTAAGAAGTGGTATGGATCATTAAAAGAACAATAGCCAGAGGATTTTACTTTAGCATACTCATTTCACTTGAACTGCAAACTCTTGCTTATGAAAGACCCTAATGGTGGCACTTATATGCCTACCATGATGGTCTACAAAGTTTGTAGGGAGAAGTGCTATTGGTTCTTGTATTCTGTCTTTGCATTTACTTTACAAGATATGACGCTGTGGCCATTGAGTAGCATGAATTATATGCACTGAAGTCTCTGTGTATGAAAATGCTTTACTTAGAAACAGGAGTGATGTGTGCTCAATAGGATTCTTCTCAAAAGGATAGCCTTAGCCAAGGGTCTTGAGAATAAAGGTGAATGTAGGATCTAAAATATCTTTGGATGATGGGTATGGTGGGGCACACCTATAATTGTAGTACTTTGTATGTAGATACAGAAGAAGTACTATGAATTCCAGGCTAGACTTGGCAACAGAATGAGACTACACTACCTCTCAACTCCTTTCCTTCTCTTTCTTTGCCAAATCCTTGGGAAGAATACTCTATTTTGGGAATATGTTGGATAGAGAGATGAAGACCCCTATCAAATTTCCTGTGGCCAGAGGAGCACTTGGGTCACAGAATGATGTCTCTTCTAGAAACCTGCAATTTGCAGAACTGCACAAAAGATACTCCACAGTCAATATAGATTCTTTCTTCCTGAACATTCAGATCCACATTAAATATAAAATTTCTATAGAAGTTTTTATCTTAACTATCTTCTAGTCCATTTTGTATTTAGGCTTTGTAGCTCTAGAACTCCTCTAAGAAACATATTCAAAATAAGGTGGTTCAATACAAGGTTATTTCTTCACCTCTGAGATACTTTGGTTCTGTTACCAAACTCTATTGTACATAGAACAAGGTCCTTCCAGGGAAACTTCTCCTAGACATAGCTCTTACCTATAACTAAACTAGTATTGTGGAACCAAAATAAGACCAAAATGCTCTCACCCCAAAACTAAAGGCCCAAGACTGTAAAGGCCTAAGACTGCTCCTTTTAGCTACAGGCCATAAGTTACTGGAACAGGCCAGAAGTTACTAAGACCAGTCAGTTCAGATTCCAGAAACCAGGAAGTGTAAAAGTACAGAGTCACAAGGTAGT